TGTACACACCTCTTGCCTGTAGGACTTCGATTTACAGATATAATACTAGATGTGGGCAGTTTGTGACCTGTCGAACCTTCCATACAGACTGTCACCGAGTGTCCAATTTTTCTTTTGATAATAATGTCGGGATTCAGAGTATCATAAGTTCGATTCTCTTCATCGATCAAATCATATGGTGAGACAAAATATGTCAATTTCATCGGATGGCCGCCTCTTCTTCTTTCTAGGATTCCTAGACACAATAACATCTAATTAAAATATATATCATAGTGAATATATATCTAACAAAACTATTTGCGTTTTTACGTGTAAAATACAAATGATTAAAAAATCAATATGACAAGTTACTAACCGACAGGACTCTTGTGAACCAAATTAAAGGGCTCTTTCATGAATGTTTGCAGCTGTGCTAGGATACCTAGATCAGCCTCGAGGGATTGCAGAGCACTAAATGCTTTACATTTTACTTTTTTATCAGCATTTAGCTGATATATCGATGCTAATCCTTCCAACTGCGTAGTAAAATCGACAAAGTCGCCACGTGAAAGAGCTGAAGCAAGTGCTTCACAACTCTGCAATAGTAATTTACAGAATTAACAATAAGGTTATGACAAAAGACAGGATCATTATAATGATATCTATTTCACCTGTTGCTCGCTCTTTCCTTCATGATGAATTTTAACATCTCTAACAAGTCCTGATGGTTCCAACAGGACTTCCAAAAAGAACATGTCAGAGGATATAAATATTTCTGTGCCTGGAGGACCAGACATCATGAACTTTAATCTGTATAATCAGACAATGGTTTATATTTAAGCACGATTTAATTTATGTAGCAAACAAGAGATTAAACAATAATGAACATTATATTTATTAGATAATAGATACTCACCCTAATTGCCTTGCTAAACTTTCTAAACGTTCTACCATCGACTGAAAGGAGGTAACTTTGATCGAATGCTGTAAGGTATCCAAACACTTTTGCAATTGATTCTTTTCGATACTGTCAATCGCGAATCGTTTGTCCTGCATATATTAAGTTATATTTATATTCTTGCAAGCTTTAAAATGGCTTAAAATGGCAAAATAAATAGAAATCACTCACCAGCATGGCCATGCGCATATTCTTGGCAGTCTCCACTAGAGGTTTAAATGTGGAAGCTTTTGAGCGTAACTTTTCCATCAACAGCTCCATTTGCCATTCCTTGCCCTTATCGGAGGTGGATCCTCCTCCGGCAGAAGGTTGCCCCGCTACGAAAGAAATTTCCCATGTATAAAAAACCTATCCCAATACACTATTTTGCTGCAAATTATCACTCCAACGTAAACACACAGCAGATAAATGACATCTTGGCATACTTTGTACTACCTAAAAATTTCAAAAGAGCTATCCAGAGAAAAAAGTAATTAAAATCGAAGAAATAGAAACATGAATATATGGCTTACATACTGTAAATACTTTTGTCAGAGGATGTGCCATTAGTAGGCACATAAATCAACTTCAACTAATCATCGCTAATTCACGATTCTACCTCTTTGCGAGATGATTTTCAAAGATTAAAGAAATCGAATCGAGGTCACGCCTCCCCCGAGTATCTTTCTCACCGTGAGGCTTCTGTCCGTTGGTCGCATCCATGTGTTCCGGCGTTTAACACGGACGCGTCGGTAACATTTGCGCTCCTTGCGCGACTCGCTATCGCGGCATCGCGACGCTATGCGTGCAAACTGGCACGGCCATGGCGGGATACGGAGCGACGAGACGGTCGGAAATAATCGCGATCACGATCTTCGAGTTGCGCCAGGATGCCAGATTTCGCCCCTACTTTTCGACGCTGTTCCCTCTCGTCACTGCTCGCAAAGTTCTTGCAACCAACCTAACCTAATCTAATCTAACTCGGTCCGCGTCGCACGTTCGTTCGGCACGCGTATCGCCAGGTGGCGACTCTTGTTCCGTATTTCTTTTTTTTTCCTTGACGCGATTCAAATTCGCTAACCTCGCACCAATTTCAAAATCTTTTTATGATATGAATAACAAAAATCAATGTTTTTTTCACATAGTGTATCCCATATATATAGAACCGCAATAACGCTTAAGAATACATTTCTGATATTTTTTTAAATTTAATATTTACTATTCTCTACATCTCTAGATGAATATAAACTGAAAAAATAAAAATAAGAGAAAAAACATTCTTACAAAATATATAAGGCCTGTTGTTTTTGGCTGAACTGGTTGTATTAATCACAGATGTCTATACTAAACTAGATTGCTAACTAGATTGCTAGGACTTTGGACTTGCGTCACATGCGATTTCCGGTTGTATGCGAGAAAATGGCGGCAGTCCCGTGTACGAAGTGTCGGTCCACAATAAGTATTTAATCTTTAAGCCGTAAGAAATTGACCAATCATAGTCGATTATTCTTTTCATATTCGATTATAATCGGTCAATTTCTTACGTCTTAAAGCTTAAATCACCTATTGTGGACCTTAGATACTAGATGTTTCGACGAATTAGAAATTGGACCGTATTCACCGTGTTCAACTAATAATTGCGATATGTGGGCAATATTTAACAATAAGAATGTTTTCATACTCGAATAAATTGAATAAGGAATTATTTCAATTAGCAACGTCATCGATTGACCAAACTTATTTTTATTTTATAACAATTAACTTTTTAAATTTTTGTAATAATTTTTTTTAATTTTTTTTATATTTCGCTTCTTTCTTATTTTCCTTTTTATTATGGAACTTGAACTACATTTTTTTATGTTCTGCAAACTTTTTGATGTTCTGCACTCTTGTCGACAACAATCATTCATAGTTTTTTGTTTTTTTTTATATTATAAATATATATAT